ATACACTTTCTTCCTCTCTTGTTCATCTTTTTCTTTCCTTCCTTTTCTTCTGTAGACGGCTCGGTTTGCAACAGGGATGTACACTTTCTTCTTCTGAAAACAGCTCGACTTGCAACAGGGATGTACACTTTCCTCTTCTTTATACAAGTTAGCTTATAACGGAGGTATACGTTTTCTTTACGAAGGTTGAATCATCAACATATATCTTTTCTAATACGTCTTCAAATTGGGATTTTCAAACACGTTATTTCCTTATATTCTGTGTCCGGAGTTGCCTGGATAGAACTGGATAAGTCATCACTATCGAATGCATCTTATCTTTCCGTTAAATGAACCACTAAGCGTCTCGGCTTTTTTCTTGCCTTTTCAAAGTCCAGATAACAACTGATCCTCGAGTGAATCTTTGACTGTCACATGTCTTAGTTTTTGGCGCGAACTCTTACTTACTTCATCCCCTATCTAGCTTCTGTCTAGACATTTTCCGTTACGGGTAATTGGGTCAGTCGACCTTTCGACCTGCCTTCCCAAAATGTCATAAGACTTCACGTAATCTTTATTTTGTTGCTAGGCGGAAATTAACCTTCATATTAATTTTATCTAGGCTATCTGCTTTTAATGTCCGTCACAACAGCAACTCAAATAAACTTCTTGAAAGTAGTCAGGTAAACAAGAGGAAAAACAAATGGCTTTGCATAAATCCACAATGGTACACAAGTTCAAATTATCAGTAACAGTCATGGAGGTTGTAAGCAGTGAGACACATGTCTTGTTAACTAATTTCTTCCTGCAAAGCCTCAGGGTCAATGTCACAACCTACATTGGTGTTAGATATGGCAATGAAGCTCTGGATCAAGGGTGTGGCTGTAAATGTTTTAATAAAACTCTGCTCTCCCTTTTATAGCCCAGGAGTGGCTGAGTGAAAATCTTTATGATTATGTTACCCCAAAAATGTGGCCTCTGAACTCTCCTGATTAGTTCTGTCTGATGGGTTGAGGGGGGACCAACCAGCAGCCTCACAATACCTTTTTGAAGGCTGCTATCATGGATATGATAGCTAAAATGAAGAAGAACCATCTAATCTAGGCTTAAAGTTGCTTCAAGTCCATCCACAAGACTGATGACAATTTGTAAAATTATTTTGTGAAAATAATGATTTTTTTTTTTCTATTGAATATCTTTTGTTTTTCTTTATATTCTAATTTGTTCTCAATTACTTGATGCACCCTGTGTATAATATATATAATAGTATATATTAACAATATAGGCTAATTTTTTTTATTATTGAATATCTGTTTTTCTTTATATTATAATTTGTTCTTAATTCCCTGACTTCTTCTGTGTCCTTTTTGTTTTCATTTTCTCTAGAAGTTTGTTGTTGCTCATATATTTTGTCCATGGTATTCTCATCATCCTTCTGTAGAACCACATTTTCTTCTTCATCTGTGAGAAGATTGTTCAGACATACTCTGTTAAAGCAGTAAATACTATATGACATTTACATTTTTGTTTATTATTTAGTAGAAATATTATGGATAAAGCTAATAACATGTTAAAATAGTATGTATATTATTAAATTCATGTTTTTTATTTGCTTTGATGAGTTTTACTTGTTTTTGACAATGTCTTTAATATCAACATATTGTTTTTATCTAGAGTGAATGATTGTTGACTCATGTGTACAATTGATTGTCTACTTCATTTTTTTTATAAAGAGAAATCAATGTATTACTTAACTACAGAGTAAATGAAATCTTATGTTAACTCTTAATATTTATCATTTCTTAGATAGGTATTACAAGTCTATATATTGCTAATTTCTTAAAGTTTATTTAATATTAGAGTGATCATTATTGATCATTGCCTTATAATCTTTTCACTTCTCTAGTTTTCTTCACCAATGAGTTAATTTCAGAACTTGATTAAGCACTTGAATTCTATATTTAACCAAAAGATAGCATTTTATATTTGCAGGATTTTAGTCAATATACATCTGTGAGATTTATCATCATCATGACTTACTGATGCTTTATATATTTATTTTTAATTCTAAATTGTTTACATTAAAGTTCCTATACTTATGCTAAATATATTGTTTTTTGTTCAGTTACAATAGTCATATAAAATAAATTGTTTAAATTATAACTATTTGAAAAATCAAGGTATTGTAAGCTAAAATGTCTATTTGGGGGAGAATTGCTTGCCTAGAAAAAAGCACAAACTAAAAAGTAATTTGTATTTAAATACAGAAAAAAAAAGATCATTTTGAGAAGTTATTTTTGTAATCTTAGTAGAATACTGAAATCTCAATTCAGTTTACTTTCTACTAAATTCTACCTAGTGAAGTATCAAGCCATTTTCAGTGGTAATTTGAAAGTGATAATGACAGCTAAAATATAACACAGTATAATCTGCTTAGCCTTGGTTACCCAACCTAAAAATAAATTCACTATTTAAGGTTGTTTACATATTGAATAGACTTAATGACTATTATGCAGTTGAGTTACTTCTCTTGATAGAGAAAATGTTTGTCATTAAATAAATCTTCATGAGTTCTTTCTAATAGAACTAACTGCTAATTATTTGATCTCTATCGTCAATCAATTTAAGTTTTAACAGATATTGGTATATGAAATTCTCATTGTTGCAGAACTTTCCACTTTTTATATTGCATGCCACTGTAGCAGCAGAAAAATCCAATTTACACATAGAAATAAATTAAAGCCAAATTTATACAATTATTATAAAACCTATCTCTAAGTACATGCCAATTTTCATCTAGCTAAGTCACACACACGTGGTACTCTACTCAAAACAAATTTTAAAACAAACACAAATATACCAGTGTATTGGTCATTATTGATGCAACTCTCATTTGCCACAGATGTCTACAACTACGTCCATGCATTTCCCTTATAAAGGTGATAAGAGAAGTTGGACACCAGCAGACAGAGAATGGAGAGAGACTTCACACACACACACACACACACACACACACACACCCCAGAGTGTGGTGGATTGCCTATATAACCATGAAAACAACTTCCTGTGAGCACAGAAAGAGAACAGATTCCACTATCAACACAACAAGCCCAAACTGATAGCCAACAAGAAGTCAGCCGGGTTAAGCATACTCCTTTTTCAAGCTCTCATTTCATGCCTTGCACACCGTACCTTCAAATGCTACACTATACAACTTACCAGAGATATTTCCATAATGTTTGGTCATTTCTTCAAACCAGAGTCTAATTTGTATTTTTACTCCAACCAACCTTCACCTCAGATCACTATGGTTGTTTGATGTTAGACATTCAAAGTTTATTCTACTGAAAAGCTCTTGAATCTAATTATTACTCACTGATAAATCATGCTATAAAAAAAGCTTCTAATAACCAAATTCTCCAAATTAAATTTTCTTAATCATTAACACCCATTGGTGCAGTAAAATGCTCAAAATGGTGGTCATGCTGCATTGCAAAAGTATAAACCTTATTCTTGTATTTCAGAAACACTAAAATGTGAGCCAGGAAAAGAAATAAATAAAACTGCAATGCCATTTTAATGGTCAAATTACTCTATTAACAGGTTTGGGAGTAATCACTGTTTATTACTGCTTCTTACACACAATAATACTATTTTGATGTTGTTAATGTTTGATTACAGGAATTAACAAGGTATTTTGCTAAATGATGAGGTGGATTACTACTAGACTATTTGGTGAAATTCTCACTGAATCTTCTGCTTGTAATTAACTCAATAGTCAATGATTTACTTGTATGTGAACTATAAAAAGAAAATGATCAGAAAGGGTAATACAAGAATATAAATTGAGCAAAATAACAGGGAAATGAGTATAAAGTCTAAATGACTTGTTACCTCACCAGACATTGCTAAAATTTTATCTTTTTTTTAAAATTATTAATTAGAACTTGAAAAAATAATTCTACTATTTTGTATCAGAATAAAAAAAAAAAGTATATTGTAGTATTATGCAGTATCTATCATTCATTACTTAATTTTCTTCCTCATGAAAACTGATATAATAACACTAAAAATAAAACCTCCCTTCTAAATAAGAAATTGCTAGCTTCTGACATTAGATCTGCCAGGAGATATTAATGCCCATCTAGGAGCAACTATGTTTTTAGTAAATATAAATTGTTTTCAATATTGGTGTGCAAATCTCACATTTCATTTACATCAAAATCCTATTAGACATTTTCTTTTCTTAAGATAAGTTAAACTTATTCTATTGCACTAAATAAATGGAAAAATGTTAATGTTGCATCAGAATGCAAATAAAATGTTGCATATTAAGAATGTAGATAAGTGTTATATATTTTTTTAATTTGCAGTTATTTACTTGAATCATTGAGAAGATGTTTTGTTTCTATTTTTATTTAATCTTAAACATTACAATGAATGTACAGGGCATAGTGTAATGGTTAGTGACTCAGAATGAAAAATCAATAAGCCAAATTTGTTGCATTCATATTTGCAACCCCCAGCTATGGGTTAAATAGTAGGACAGACTGGGCTTTTCAGCATTAGTTGCTAAGGTAACTCAAGTCATCTTTAGGATCCATTTACTTTTACAGAATCTCTTAAGTTGGAAGTTTCCTTTCAATAGACAAGCAGCTTATGTAATTTACAATTACTCTTATAATCATTTATTTTCTATATGTTTGTGTTCATTGTCATGACAACAAGAACAGAACATCATAGTACAATTTTTGTTTGTGTATTCCAATTTAAATCCTCTAATTTAGAAAATAAAACAATTTCCTGTTTAGTTGGATCACTGTTTTCCAAGTAATTGTCAGGAAGTATTTTAATGGGGTGAATAAATAACTATATCCAAGAAATGGTTTCAATGTTCAAATATATTTATCAGCAAATGAATAGAAGGGCCAAATTGCAATTCTATAAAGTGCAAGAAAACATATTTTATAAATGAGAAAGAAATGTATCTAATGTAATTTTGAATTTTTTTTTTCTTTCAGGGATGTTGACAAACCAAATATTAAATGGACTGGATACAACAAGAAAGTTCCAGTCATCATGTTTCATTCAGAAGCAGTTTTACAGAATGTATCTAAGTACAAAAAGGTTGGAGGTGAGTAAAATGTCTCAAAATATTTATTAATTACAGAATAGTTGTGTTCTGTTTGATTCTTTAATGTTTCCTTATGAAAACTTGATCTCACATTTCTGTGATTGTACTGTTTTCAAGTTTCTTACAGATCTTGCATTTTAAGTTTTACTTTAAAGAGAAAAAGGAACTTTTGTTAGCATTTTAGATTTTTTTTGTCCTGAATAATATTCCACAAATAAGCTTCGAGGAATGCATTTGAAAAAAAATATTGAGTTCTTATAATGAAAATAGTGTTATACTAAAATATAACTTGTTATGGGTATGTAATTATAAAAAAGTCTCTTCTGTTAGCAGTGCTTACCTTAATTCCCAATGAGTGATAAGTCATTTTGAATGTGTTTTATACAGATTAAATACTGAAAATTGCTGAAAAAAATTTTAAATCCACATTTGCCAAATTCAGTGTGATAATCATTGAAATTTTCTTTATCTTTTAATACCAGAATTGTCACTTCATAAAATGAGTAAAGGGAAGTGTAGAGGATACCTCAAGTTAACTCTTGTCAAAATATAGTTAAAATCTAATCAAGCTCTAAAATATATCTGTGATTATTTATTAAACTTTGATCAGCATGTATTAATATAATCTTGTACTAATATAATATCAACTTGAATCAACATGTACTGTGAATATAAAAATTAGATCACAAAATTAAATTTTTACATGTTAAATCTTTTTTTTTTTTTTGCACATTGTTCATGAATATTTGTTTTCATCAGGTTTTAGGCAATCTAACACTATATTCTGTCACACAGCTTCAAATTTACCTTAATAGCTACACAATATTTACTCTGTCTTTTTAAAACTGATGTTAGTAACATTAATATATGGGCAAATATTTACTCATATACACATAGTTTGGAAAATTTGACATGTTTCGCAAATAATCCTACATCATCAGAAAATCAATTTTATTTGAAAAAGTAAAATCTATATTAGTAAAAATGAAACCTGATTTATGTTGTCTAAACACTTAACTTTTAGTTTTAGCTGCATTATTATAAAAATTAAATCTCAACTAATTACACTCAGTTTTGATGGTTTAAATGTACCACATTGTTTCAATATTAATTTAGTAAGATATAGAGAGAAACTGAAATAACCCAGATGTAATTTACTCTTAGAGTCATCGCCACTTTCAATGCATTTTCATCTGAATAAATTATCTCATTATTAAAACAATACTTTTTAGGTCAAAATTAGGATCAAGAAGGTTTTGGTGGTATCCAAGTGCATTTAGTGTGTTGTTTAACTTTAATTTTTTGATGTTCATATTATCTTTCCTTTAAATTTTGAGATGATTTGTCAATGTATTTCTAAGGACATTGTACACATTATATTCATTAAATTCCTGCTCCTAATTTAAAATTAGTTCTTCTTTTATATTGATTAAATTTTTAACTGAATTGCGTGCAATAATTTTATATTAAAATTAACTGAATTTCTTTCAAGATAATATATGTCAAGTTAAAAATTTTTTCAAAATTATCATATATATTTTTATTTTATTGAATATTATCTAATTTTACTTATATCTACCCAAATGTTTGGGGAATTTGAACAGTGTGTGCTAATTGAATGTGTTGCTGACTTTGCCAAATGTAGACATGCCTTAGAGATGGAAAGTAGGTGTTATTGTAAGCCATTTTTTCAGTATTACATTCCTGCTGCTTCCAAGTAGCATCTTGGGTAAATAAAGTGATATATATAACTGTTTAAAATTAAAAAATGGTATCTATTCTGTTTGGTATTCAATTTGGACCTTGGTATAAAAATGAATAATTCAGTTTTAAAATTTCATCCTTCAGCTTGATTTATAATCTCACCAAGGAAACTAAATATACCCTAAAAATAAATAGAAGTGCAATATATTAGGGTGCATATTAGGGTTGATTTTAAATCAATTTCTATGTCTGCTTGTTTCCATCATGATTACAAGATAAAATTCTAAGAGAGAAGCTAAAAATAGTAGCTACATGTTTGTAGAATCTTTTCATACACTGCTGCTTCTAAGTACATCAAAACTGATATCAAGTTTTTAATGCGTTCATGTATTATCAACAACTAATCAATATTCAACTCGAGAGGAAAAAGCTTTTGTATAGTATCTTATTAATAGCTATTAAGTATAGTTATTTGAATCAATGCAAGAAACCATAAAGTTTCTGTAAAATAGTCACAAACAGTATTACATGCAATATGTACAAATAAGAGGTGAGTCTTTAAACTTCTGTTTTTTACTTTTTATATTTTTTATTACATTAGACCTTGAAGAGTTTGACAAGTTTATTAGCAGAAGTATCTTATGTTTCATTTTCTACTCATATTTTTCTTTAAGATTTTTATATTAATAAGCTCCAATAAAATGTATCATAAAATTACTTTTTTAAAAGATTTATGTTAATGTTTTGTAACCACTGTCTATAATTTAGAATCACCCACACTGTGTAATAATGACCTTTACTACAATAGGGAGACACAGTGGAGTAATGGATAGCAGCTCGGATTGAGGAATCAGAGAGCCGAGTTCAAATTCCAGTTGAATCCATTACATTCACTTACGTGCTAATACCCTTGGGAAAGGTATAAATCCTCCTCTTCTCCCCTGCCAGCTATGGGTAAATAGCAGGACAGACTGGGTTCTATAGCTTTGGATTGTAACTGGTCTACCACAGAAAGAAATGGCAACCTACTTTGGGAAAAAATCTGCCTTGTCAGTCATGTATCAAAAGATACATGATCGCCTAAGTGTGTATTATGCATGGCACATAATTGACTGACTACAATAGTTGTTAGATGTATGACTTTAAAATTTCTAATGCTTTTGACAACAAGATAATTGATTAGAAGTAAGGATGATGTTTTAAAAGAGGAAAAGTCATCTTAGTCAAATAGTTTTCATTCATCATTATTATTATTCTTGAGGACTGAAAAAGTTCATAGACTCACTATGAAGGGGAGTGATGCTAGAACTGTGAAATTTTGCATGCATTAATTTCAATTCTTCTTATTAATAACTACATTGTTTCATTTCAGTTAAACTGACATCTGACTGTTAAAAGACTTCAAAAGTAACTAGCAGCTACTTCTCTTGAAAATGGACAAAATTTGACATTGTGGTACTATCAAGTACCTGCAGAAAAAGGGTTTAGCCCCCAAAGACATTAATGCTGACATGGTTGCTACATTAGATGGTGACACTCCAGCTTTATCAACAGTGCAAAAGTGGGCAGCTAAATTTAGGAGGGGAAGGGAGAATCATGAAGATGATCTAAGGTCTGGACTTCCTGTAAGCAACTGCTACCATCAAAGAAAAAATTTGAATGTGTTCACCACAGGATTATAAATCAAATAGCCAATGCTATTAGCATATCTAGTGAGAGAATTGAGAATATTCTGCACAATAAACTTGGCATTTCTGCTCAGTGGATGCCACATCTGATCAAATGTGCATCAGGTTGATTACATCATGGGAAAATCTAACATTGTTTGAGGCAGATTCAGCTGGTTTCCTTGAACATTTTCTAACCCAGTATGAGTGTTGGAGTCATCACTTTGAGCCAAAGCAGTGGAAAGTTTTCCATGCAGTGGAAACACCTCTTCTCATCTGCTCCAAAGAAGGCCAAGGTCATTTCATCTTCAAGAAAGGTGATGTCCTCAGTTCTTTGGGATGTAAATGCTATTGTGCTTATTGACAATCTTCCAAAGGGCCACACCATCAATGGAGAGTACTATGCCAAATTTCTGAGGCAGTTACAAAAGGCTATCAAAACCAAACAACCATGAAAACTGACAAAAGGAGTTTTGTTTCAGCAGGACAATCCTCCAGCACACAAGTCCTTGGTTGAATTAAACAAAGACAGATTTGTATTAATCAAGAATCTGTCCAGCACTATCAAGAGAACTTCCTTCTATGTCAAGGTTCATTTTTTTATTAAATTTGTATATTCTTTTTCATTCAATTTTATCTTAATAAGTGTTTCATTCTTATATTGTTATAGTTTTTACATAAAAGATTTTAATTGGTTATTTATTAAATAAGATACAATATTTCTCATACTAATTTGTTAGTTAATAACAAATATATTCTATCATATCTAAAAAGAAATTATATGTGTATAAAAAAATGAATTGTCCAAAGGATGATTGCCTTAATATTGTGTACAAGCTTAATCAGTTAAAATGTCAGTTATTTCAATGGTATATAAGTGAAAATTATATAATTTGAATCTATTTCTAATAAGGGTTATAATAAGATTATACACAATGTTGGATAAACTACTCCTCTATTTAGCAGTTAATCTTCTTAATTAAAACAGTATTACACAGTATAAATATATATAAATTAAATTGTTTTCTTCACTATTGTGATATTTATCCTTACTGCTGTAAAACATCTAATGTTTTTTTAGTCTTGTCTAAAACTTCAGATAAGTAATGGTTTATAGAAAGAAAATAGTAAAAATCCTGCAGAGTCAAATGAAAGGTTTGAAGGACAGATCTGATAAAGTACACAAAGAACTGAATTAATAAAGGAATACATTTGAATAACACCTATGTTAATATTGGATATATTTTCAGAAAAATATCATCTGTAAAAATAATTAAATTATTGGAGGCCATGATTTATGTATCTCACTTTTTTAAATTGATAATTGAGAAAATGTTTTTTTGTTGTTGTTTTTGTTTTGTCGTTATTTAAGAAAAAAGAAGCAAAATATCATTTCACATGTAAATATTTTGTCTCTATCATTTGATCCAAAATGAGTGTTAAAAAGAAGGAAATAATCTTACATAAGATTTACACATAATAATATGTCAAGTATTTATAAATGTACATTTGTTAGTTAAAAGTTGATTCAGACTAGGGTTATAGTCAATAAACTTAGACCAGAATAAAAATATTAAAAATTTAAAGGTATTGTCTATCATAAAGAAAACATTGTAATATATACACATCTATCAATAACATATTTACTAAATTTTAACTTAGACTTTCCTTGTATCTAGACAATATCATTGATTTGTCTGGATACAAGGAAAGTCTAAGTTAAATAAGTTCTATAAATATGAACTGAATCCAAAATACAGACTTTTATAGGTTACTTTATTGAATTTATTTACATGTTTGTGGTATGTGTAACAAGAGAAAGACAGCTTTTCAGATATATAAATAGAGGAAATTGCTGTAATTTAAATTTAAGCTGTAAGAAAAATATTACATATACAATGGAATAGTTCTAATGAATAAAGTCATTTTGATAAAATTCAAAGAATTATTACTCAAATATTGCAAACCAAAATACAATATTTTTTTTTTTGTCTAAAGAGTTTACACAATGTTTGAAAATTTGCTATTTCTGTAATTTTAAAAAATTCATATACTACATAAGTATTTAATTTTAGTATAATTTTTATCCTGTTATTTTCTTTTCATTAAGATAGATTATCTCTATTTTCTTTCAGAACGCTTCCATATGGGCTTCAAATTTGGTAGCACTGAAAGTCGCATAATACGTACAGTATTGTTAGCTCATGGCTTTCACGAGGTGAGTCAGTTCTTCTAATGAAACAATATTAGCCAGTTCTTTTATATTCTTACCTTGACATTGTTATTTTATATCAAACATGCCAAAATTAAAAATATCCTACTTCAACCTTTTAAAATTACGGACTTTTCTTATCAATTTGTGAACAACTGGTGTGTTTAATTATCCATTCAGTTTTGTTTCTACTGTTGCTTTTTTGTTTTTGCAGTTTTGAATTTGAACATTCAGTAAAATTTAGTTTTCTTGTCTAAATGTAGTTATATATTATGATTAACTTGAATCAAAATATATTACCTTGTTTTTTGAATCAACTGTTTCAAAGAATAAGGTAATAATTTTCTTTAATCATTTAAAAAATATTATGCATAGCTATTTTTCTTTTCTAATGAATTTTATTAAGGTAATTAGAATATTGATCTTATTGTTAAATAATTTTTAAATAATGCTTGAAGCATCTTAATTTTTCATTCATGCTACTGAGAATGATTTTATATTTTAGAAAATGGTAGTTACTCTACTTTGGCAAATTACAGACAACAAAGGGAAAATATACTTATTTGTTTAGCTTTTAATGACAAAGAGTAGTAGTATTTCTTTAAAGTTTTTATATTATTAAAAATATATTTTAAGAATTACCATGTGGGGTTTACTGTTGCATAAACTTTATTTATTCAGAGTGATCACAGACATAGAATCCTTAAAAACTGTGTTGATAGAAGCTTGGAACAATATCCTGCAAAAATTTCAACAGTTAAATAAACTGCACCAAATTTCATGTTTGTTTTTTTTTTGTTTTTTTTGTTTTTGTATAAATTTTGTGTTATCTTAATAATATGATAACCACATTATGATAATGATTGTGTATAGATGTGTTTCAATGCTCATTTTTAACTGATTTTAGCTAAACTTTCTTAACATTTCATAAGTTATGATTCAGTTACTTTTAGAAAAAGAATTATGCCAGCAATTTTTCAATCCTAGTGTGTGCAAAAAGCAATTTAATTCAATTTAATTTAAATTTTCTGCAAAATATATAATTAATTTTATGTTTTATGCTTATCATCTTTATGACTGATAAATAGCCAGAAAGCTACTATATGTTTGTACACATCATTGTTGATTCATTTTTTTTTTCAGATTTTTGTTTTATAATAATCTTAATACAGATACTTTTTTTTCTTTAAAACCATTAGTAATTCTTATTTTTAGTGGGCAAAGTTATTATCATTTATAATGTGGTACTTAAGTATTTTATCATCTCCAACACCAATTTCTTTATTTTTGTTTCTTCACTAGTGTAAATGCTATAGAATTTCCAGAATTAATTATTAACTATTGCTTCTTCTGCTCCAGTAACATTTCAGAAAGAAAAAAAATCATAATTTTTAATCTAGGCAGCAAAATCATAATTGTGTCTTCCATGTTATGCACTTTTAGTGCCTTATTCAAAATTTTCCTTTTGATCACCACTTATTGTAAATTTAAGCAACAACTTTATTTAATTAACAATTCAGAACTTTAAAAAGAAAATTTAGATAATCTTTAAAATTCCCATCTTTGGATGTTTATATTTAGATTAACCTCATTACAGATAATTGGACATTTTATCATCCAGAAATTTTTATACCTTAATTCACAAATCACTTTTTTTATAATTTTTTCCACTATACCATTTTTGTTTTTTAATATAGAGAAATACATGTTTGAAAATCTTTACCATTAATCTTATTTTTATTATTATATTAAGAGTGTGCAAATATTCCCAGCAAAAGAAAAAACTGATTTTCAGCTGTGTGTTCTGCCTCTATTTTTCCAAAATGAGTACTGTGAACTTTCACACACACCTAATATATTCTTTGACACCACAATTGAGTTTTATTATGGAAGTGACACAATTTTGAGTTCCCCTCCCCTTCTTAATAGTTTTACCATCTTTACCAGTGTTATAATTTTTACTTGTCAGATTTCAAGGCTTCCTTCAGAGATTTGGGGACTGTTCTTTATATTCCACTAGATATTGACACAATTATTATTCACATAGTTTAAATTTTCTGGCTCTCTTACATGAAATTTTTGTAATTATTTCTTTGTTTATTGCTATCATTTCTGTCTAGCCCAATGGCAAAGATTCATTGGTCTTTCTTCTATCAGTTATGATTATATCAGGATTTCTTGCTTAAATGCAATATTTTGTTTAGACTTTGAAATCCCAGTTTGCTTCTTCTTTGCACAAACTGTGAAATGTAATTGTTCATGCAAAAGTTATTTTTTTGTAGAAATATTCGGTTAAAAATAATAAAATTAAATTAATAGGAATTTATAAAAAAATTTATAAAAACTGTCCTTAATTATAAGCTACACAAATATTTTATCAAAGAGTCATATAGGAATTCAATTGGAAATATTTTATTTTACTTTTGATTTCAGGTTTCATCAAATAATTCAGACTTTAACATGCTATGGACGGGTGGCCACTTAAAACCATTGACCCTCCGTAACATGTCTGAATTCCAGAAGATTAATCATTTTCCCAGGTAAATTATATTTTACTAAAGAATCTCATCTAAAAATGTTACATGGCAATTGATCTGTAAATTATTGTACAACATGTATAGTGACAGAAACATTATCTAATTTTGTAGATCTTATGAACTTACCAGGAAAGATAGACTTTACAAAAATGTGCAGAGAATGCAGCAAATCAAAGTAAGTAAAACATATTTTAGATTTTTTTTATTTATATATTTTCCTTCCAAATATAAGCTAAAGAGTAATAAAACCTTTTGAAGTAGAAATAAAGCATGGATTCATAGTTGGTCAGGTGGCTATGAATAATATATAATCATCATTATTATTATTATTATTATTTCTTATTAGGTTTCACTTTTATTTATACTTTCTGCATTTCTTTATATTTTTTTCTGATATTAGTTTAACATGTCGTCTTGTGTTGTGTCAATTTATATCCATTGTAAGCATTGTGTTTTTTACATTTTCCTTATAAAAAATTTCAATTTTTTTTTTTTATTTCAAATAGTTTTAATTCAGGACACAATTATAATTGTAATTATATTGAATTTAAGACCAATGGAAAATGTTTTCCCACTTTACAATCTTCAGATTTTTTAGCTTGTAATTTTAAGAGTTTACAAATGAAGCAGATTTAAGTTCCTAACAATCTTTCTGCATTAACAAAAAATATGAACAGGCTAGAATTAAGAAAAAGTGCACATATTTGTTCTTTGATGCTTTTATGAGTAAATAGGGAAATGCATTTCCTGAAATATATATTGAGTTCCAACAAAAACATAAATTTTAATAACAATTTGTATCTTTGGAATATTTATTAACATATAAATTATCAAATTCAAAACATAAACAGATATTTTTATCTATTTGAGATATTTGTGTTTTCCTTTAGAATTTTTTTTCCTTTTCTTCAATTTAAGGGTTCACGGAATTTTAATTTTGTTCCCATGAGTTTTGTGATTCCTGCAGAATACCAAGAATTTTGTGGTAAGTAATAAATAAATATAAAGACGTTTCATTGATTAATTTTCACAAGTTTTTCATTAAGACATGTCTCATTGAGTAATTTAGACATTGTGCTAATATCAAAAGTACTTGGAATAAATAAATATGTATCCACATGGTAATTTTCTCTCTTCCTTTAATAAGGATACTGAGAAGCTTGTCTGTGAATGTGAAAGGATTCTATTGAAACTAAGTAGACAAAATTTGTCTAAATTACTCAATGAGACATGTTTTAATGAAAACATGCTGCCAAAATATACACTTAGTTATATATATAACTATCCTATTTCTTCAAGTAAGACATTAGGAGGAAAACTTCTCATGCTTGACTAATGTTATTGAGGAGAAATAAATTAATGAACCAATTCATACTGTCATCTCTATAATAAATGCCAATATCAGTGTGTCACACTTTTTGAATTAAAGGGACACAACTCTCAATAGCTCATTTCCTTTGTTGAACTTTTAAAAGGTAAGCTTAAATATTAATGAAATACTTGTTGTCTCACTGATATACAGAAACAATAGAAAAAAAACTTCCTTTCCTCTTTTTCTTGTCCTTTCCTCTCCATTGTCCTTCACTCGCTGTCCTTCACTTGCTGCCCATCATTCTTTCCAGCTTTTATACAAACACTCACCCATAATGCATTGGAACTTCCCTATATAAGTGTTATTTCCACTTTCCTAGCTTTTCCACTTCTGTTTTCACTTTTTTTGTTATTTTTCTCTCATCTCTTTATCACAATACTTAAATGCCACAATCAATTTTGAGTTTTTCTGTAGTTTATTGTTGCCTATCACATCTACTCTTTCCTACCTATTGTAATGAAAACTGAATCAAGTGCCCTCCACAGGAGCTAGCTTAAATGCCACCCTATTGGATGCCTTTTAAGCTAGTGTAAAATATAACTTAAAAATACAATAAGTGGGGAAAGTAATACAAGGATAGCAGTTAGCATGACTTGGCTGGGACAGGCTTTCATATACACCTGTCTTTATGACCAGATATATCCATAGAGGTTTGATACTTTCTCCTAGGCCATTTTGGCTAGGATTTTACTCTGCTAAAACTGTTTCTTTTTTCTTTTTTTTTCTCTGATCAAAATAATTACAAGCTATTTAGACTCTTAAGTATTACAATATGTCAATGAAGACTGCAATTGTCAATAAAATAATAAAACCATTTGATGGCAAGGGGTTGGAATATAGTCAGATAGCTAATGAAAGTGAAATTGATGACAAAATAACAATAAATTCCAGATGATGTATCTTTTATACCACTGTATTTAAATGAGAACTTGTTAGTTTTGTATTTAGAGATGAAAAAAAGAAGCTCAGAACAATAGAAGCCTGATTAAAAGAAACCTTCTCAGAAAAGACATTTACAGCATTCAGTAAAGTGGTGACAATAAAATGAACACCAGAATATGTAGACATTTATGTAAATGAAATTAGAAGATAGGCTGGATTTGTTGGAAGAAAATTGAAAATAATAGTGAAATTGTACTTTGTAATTAGTGATTTTCCAAGCACAGCTTAGATGTGGCACAAGGCCGAAAGTATGGGGCACCCAGTGAGGATCAAACTCACTACTCAGTCGTAATTGTTCTAGCAAGACAAGCTTGCTAACCATTACACCACCTCGAGGTGCCCTAATTGTACTTTGTGACTAGCTTCTCTGAAGATGTTTAAATTACTGAATCTAGAGAACATGACTGTAGGGGATTTAGTGGCTAGAACTAATTGTTGACAAATCTCAAGATTTTTGAAACAGTGACTAAGAGATGGGTCAATGAGATTTGAGTACTGTTAGAAGAGCAGATATATTTAAAGAGGTCAAGGGTCAAATCTGCCAATGAATTGTGCAGATCCTAATCTTAAACTGATTTGCTATCAGTGTAACCAGGTAGGACATATAGCAAAGTACAGCAAGCAGAGAAATAATGAAGAGAAACAGTTATGTACCAAAATCAAGTAGTATGATTATATAATGTGATGTTAATTGTGTGGCAATAAATGTTGTTCTAGAAATAAGTGACATTATGCTAGTAGGCAATTGCACTCTTGCTGGATAAGTGAGGACCGTGTAGCTATGTGAATGAAGTAGGATGATAAAGTTGAGAAGATATTATATTGAAAGAGTAAAAGGAATGGGATTCAGATCCAGGGAAAGGAATGGGAACTGGTATATACCAAAATCAAATAGTGAGATTATATGGTGCCAGTTGTATGGCATTTGGTGTTGTTCAGGATACCATACGGCTGTGGGAAAAAGATAAATACAGTCACATTAATTTGATATTATACTAAAGGGAAATAACTTAGTATTAAAATGGATACTGAAATTGAAATTGACTTGGCTAATTGTGATTGGCTGGCTGAAAATATTAATTCCTATCCGGAAAAAAGAGCTGCAGAGATGAGCAATATTTAGTGATCTTAGGAAAACTAATTAGAGAATTAAATCTGAAGCTGCAATTAGTATCCCTACTCTCTAAAGGTGAAGAAAGCCTTGTTGGGGGTGTTGGAGGATTGTGGTTACAAAATATTTGGTGTATCAAACCTGTACAAATTTTGCCGTAAATTTTAGATTTGTTATGTGCTGGCATTGGAAACTACACCCTATCTGAAGTTATTAAGCAAATCATATAAACTTCAATAATTCAAATTTGGTTTGAAAAAAATTTCAAATTTTAAACAATCAATTTAGGTGTCAAAACAAAGCCTGAGTTAAAATTTTAGGTAGTATCAATATGTTTTATTGAACTTATCTGATGTATTCTAAAAACTGTCATCTGAAGTTATTAGGCAAAACCAAATAATCACATTTTACTTCAATAAAAAGGTAATAAAAATCATCAAAAATTGATCAACACCTATAATAGAACAAATAATAAATACATATGATAAGTCTTTGAATCCTTTATATTTCTTCCCAATAACAGCCAACTACAAAAGTTTACAAAGGTAACTTCCATCAATACTACAAAGGGTGAAAACAGTGAGTTTCAGAAGTCGATTTACTTGAGAAACTGTTTTAAGAAAAAGATCCTATAATTTTAGGTACCTCCAAAGATTTGCTAAAAAATTAAGCATACATGATGAAAAAATGTACCAAATTTAATAAAAAAAAAGTTTTATCATCAAAATCTTTGTTATTATTAAGAGGAAAACCAAAGGATTTTTTTATTATATTTTTTAATCCTTTTTAATACCTTTGAAATTTTGTTTAAAATTTCTTTTTGTGTCAACACGTGACCATAATAAGTATGGGAAATTTGAGTGTCTTTTTGTGGTGAAAAACACTGATTTTTTTCAGGACTTATGTACAAATGAATGAAATTATGGTAGAAATGTTTCTATTCTTTAGAAATTCTTGTTAAAGATTTTTTTTTTACAACTGTTACACTCTCCCTCACACCCAATTATTTAATTTTATGAAATTTTGTGAAATTCATTTTTGTACCACTTAATATTTATATTAGTTATAAGGATAATTTTTTTATGTCAAGCAGAATTTCCAGTTAGAGAAAATCTGCTTTAAATCATAAAATGAAAAATGCAATAAAACTAGAACATTATTTAATTAGAGAAGCTTTTAACTGCTTTTATGAATAATATATACTATGGACACTATTGTATTAAGAAAAACATTTTTGAAAATGAATTTTTACAAGAATTTTAATTTTTTTGTAAATTATAATAATTTATAAAGTTTTAAATCATTTATTTTGTATTAATTTATAGCAGTTATTAAGTAAAAACTATATTTGCAAATCATGAATGAAAAAGCTTAATATAATTCAGCACCCAACTCCCAGTATTCTAAAAGAATTTTGAATTTTTTTTGTGTGCATAAATGTGCTGATTTTTGTAAATATGGATGTCTATACATGATATTATCAGAAAATAAGAGCAGTAAATATAGTAAATTTCAAATTTATTCATAATTTCCTAACATTTCTCCAACAAGTGTCTTCATAAGAATATAAAATCAAAGTACCTAAAATTCAATAAAATATTAGATTACTTAGAATATTTTCCTACATTTTTAAGATTATTGGGTAGTTAAAAAAAAATTATATAAAAAGTTGTATTTGTCAAGTAAGTTTTACAGTTATGTACCCTTTACTTAAAAATGCTAAATGTCAGGTTATCAACAAAAGTCAACACACCATAAAAACACTCACCTCCATGTTAAAAAATGCTTTTCTGTGATATTTCAAAGTAAATAATATTTGTTTTAATTCAAATTACACTTTAATTCACTTCCTTAAATAAAATTTCAGAAAAGTATATTTTATCTTTGAAAGATTTTTTAATAGCAAGAATTATGCTGTGTTGATGGATTTGTCAATATGGCCGATTTTTAGCAATTTCAAAAAAAAATAATTCCAATCAATTTAAATTTGGTTTGAAGTATCAGGTCATCCCATAAGTTCTGTCCAAATTTTGAATAACGAAAACAAATGACCAAATGTTATATTTAATTACAGATTCAATCAACAATGTATTTTCCCTGATTATCTATGACTTCCTTCCATCTATTAACAAGCTTACTAATTCCATTACTGTAAAATTCTTTTGGCTTTGATTCGAAGAACTCACAAATGTCAGTTTTAACCTCTTCCTGTGTTACAAAAGCTGTTTCTTCCAAATGATTCTGTAAGCTACGAAACAAATGCTAGTCTGAAGGAGCAAGATCGGGAGAATAAGGTGGATGAGGAATTTTCTCCCAACCAAGTTCTTTGATCTTTTGTGACATGATTCTTGCTGTGTGGGGTCGTGCATTGTCCTGATGAAACATCACCGCTTTTCGATTCACTAGAGCAGGTCTTTTTTTCCTCAAAGCTTGGTTCAAACATTCTAATTGCTGACAGTATATTTGAGCATTAATTGTTGCATTAGGTGGTAAGAATTCAAAGTGGATTATTCCTTGGCGATCTCACCAGATTGAAAGAAGAACCTTTTACCCATGAAGTTCCCTTCTCGGCTGTGGCTGGGGTCCTTCCCCTTTAGCAAGCCACTGTCTATGATGCTTAACATTTCGATAAAAGATCCATTTTTTGTTGCCAGTCACAAGTCTATCCAAAAAAGGTGAAACAAGTTGGCGAGAATGGAGAAAAGAGCAGATATCAACTCGGGATTTGAGGTTGTTTTCAGACAATTCATGAGGCACCCATTTTCCAAGTTTAGGAACTTTTCCAAGTTGTTCAAGAAGACGATGAACAGTTGTATGGTTTGAACTGAGAACCACTGCCAATTCCTCAACTGATAAAGCAGGATTTTCTTCAAGGGCTGCTTCAAGAAGCTTTTCATCAAACTCAACTGGACGTCCGGTTCAATCTTCATCTTCAAGGGTGAAATCTCCACCTCTGAATTTTGCAAACCATCTTCTGCAAGTTCTTTCATTCACACATTCCTCTCCATAAACTGAGTGAATCTTTCTAGCTGCTTTAGCTGCTGAGTTTCCTTTCTTGAACTCATAAAGCATTATGTGCATCAAATGATTCTTGGGTACTTCCATGTTAGCAGGGTTTTAATCAAACAAAATTTAATTTTATTGTTCTCTGAAATAAAATTTGATTAGTTTAAATGCATCTAAACTTAAAAATAATGTTCAGCTCCATTAGGCATTATAAAATACTCTTTAAATTTTGTTCATTTTAACAAAAAGTTAAAATTCGGACAGAACTTATGGGATGACCTGATACATCAAAGTATTTTGCTTACTGGAAATATTAAATTTAATCTATTAGCTTTGAATTAAAACTAAAAAGCTTCAAGAAAGAATTTTTAAAATGCATTTTAAACCTTAGGTATCACTTTTGTTTGGAGATACCTCTATAAATTTCAAACAATATTAATGCTAACTGTTTGGTCAATAAATTGAATGTCAGTTGTTTCCTGTATGGAAATTGCTAATTTCACCATTACCATTGGCTATTTTGAAGCCTTTAACTTTTTTTTTAAAAAAAAAATGTGTTTAAGATAAATTGTTTTAGTAATTACAATATATTTTAAATAAAATTTAGATTAAAATAAAACTCAAATATTCCTAATTCACAGCTGTACACAATTTTCTGGGTAACATGTCCATAAGATACAAGTGAGTAGTCAATCCAAGACTTACACACTATAATAACTTTTTTTTTTATTGGGCAGAGGAGGAGGAGAAAAGATAAGTAACGTCTCTTATCTCAAGTATTGTGTAAGGTACAAACGTGAACAGACTTTGATGTGAAATTTGAAAGCAACAAACATTTATTACAATGACATAAAAAAACTCAATAAAACAGCATACCAATTTTAAAATAAATTTACACAAAATTTTCCTTTGTGTACCTTATTTGGCAAGATAATCAGTTCAAAAATTAAAATGCTAGGCTCATAAAGCTGACATAAATTTTTCAACAAAATTTTCACTTAGTTTCAACAATTGAAAATCTTTTAACTTCACCCACATCACTGGGAATTTAAACAGTAGTTCAATTTTTTAAATTAACTACAATGAATTTCGTTTTTATAAAAGTTCAAAATTTAGGATTGATACCTCTAATTTTATGAATTTTTCAGGTTTTCTTTTCTTTCAACTTTGTCTTTATTTGTTTCTTTTTTTTCTTTATCATTGTCAGCATTGTTGTTATTATCAGGAACAGCCTCAGTCATTTGCAATATGAACGCCCAAATTTTTCTGGTTCTTAGACCAATTCAACTTCTTAAATAGACTCAAAACCAGCTCCAGATTTAATCTGAGTATGAAATTTGCATCAGCAGAATTTACCTCCCTCATTGGTTAAAACCCCCAAAATGTATCTTTTTTTTAAACCAGGCCTGTTTACTGTCTTTATTTTGGTAGGGTTTTTCAGACCATAAGACATCAGCCTATTTTTTACAAATTTATTAAACCAAATTTTATGTAACAAATTTATTTGAACCATTCTTTTTACTGTTTGGCTTTCGTTTTATAATTATTTTTTACGTTCTCTTTTCAAAAAAAGTGCAATAAGCAATCCTAGTCTATTGTATCATTATTATTCTTTTTATGTTCATCTTTTTTATTAATCTTTTATATAATTTACATTTTTTTGTTATATAATTTTTATAACACTTGTTATGTGTCAGAGTTAAACTCCTAGACAAAAAATTAAATAAAATTAAAAATGAATAGATTAAAAGAATTCAATGTCAAAATAAAAAAAAAACTTGTTAAATTAAAATTTAAAAAATTTTAGTACATCTTAGTATTTGCATACACAAATCTTATTAAATTCAGACTGTTTTTAGCATCCAAGAGGAAAACAAAAGGAGCTAGAGAGAAAGAGAGAGGGATGTAGAAAGAGACAAAAAGAGAGTGCAACAAAGTGAGAATTTAGAAGGGAGTCATCTAACGATCTGTTGGTGTTGGGAACAAATTCACCTGAGAACTGCCAGTAACTTTTGAAATTAAAATCTTTTTTTTTTCTTTTTTTTTTTTTTAAATCTTTGTGAATTTGGTACAAATTGAGGGAATTAATTCTATAAATGCACTCTTGGGGGTTCGATTTACAATGAATTTCTATTGCAATCAGAGCACCACTTTTAAAACATATAAATGTAGTCTTAACTTAAAATTTATTTTACATTACACATTCAATAAGGCCATTATTACAAATACAAGGAAATGCAAAACTAGTAACAAATGGATGAAGTTGACATTCAAGGCACAAGAAGACATGGTGATACATACACTAGAAATATTGTGTATATCAAAGTACTGTGATATCAGTTACTTGGCTCTATACCTGTGCTAGGAGAACAACCCAGCTTATTTAGTTCTGCATTTGCAGAGTCTTCCATAGACTTAGGTGTAGGACCCAAATTTATCTCTATATCCTACTATTGGTGTAGTAACTTCTAATGTTGTTTCTGTCTAAATATTTATGAACCCATTAAGAATTTTATTCTTTTGCTGATGTTTTCATGTGAATTTAGCATGTGTATATATATTGTGTGTATGTATGTATGTATGTGTGTGTGTGTGTGTGTATATATATATATATATATATATATATATATATATATATATATACATACACACACACAGTAGCATAATAATATATGAACGGAAAATACAAAAAGACATAAGTATGTGTATTACTTAAAAAGTAATGCATGACTAGCAATGAAATTTTTAACGAATAAAGGTTAGGGTGTAATGCATAAATATACAAAGTTACAAAAATTTACATAATAGTTTTTTTTTAAATAAAGATTAAATGGAACAAAGGAAATAAGCTGGAAGGAGGCTGTTGAAAAATAAATATATTTCTTGTATAAAATAAATGTTGTAGTTTTTCTATGGATATTGATGTACCTATGTAAACACTTTGATAAATTTATAAATTCTATTTGAGACAGTCAACAAGATTTAAGGTTCTACTTTCTTAAAACTGACAATGACTTCTCGGCCATTTAGTGCTAAAATCTTGTTTAGTGCTAAGCTCCTACTCTGAAACAAAAATGAGTGTTTTTTGGGGTTTTTTTTTTTAAAACAAAAAACAAGTGTTTGTATTTGTAATAAGCAAACAAAAGAAAATTGCCAAAAACAATAGTTGGAGAAAAAGATTTTACAGAGATTAGATACTGTCATTATCAGGACAGTATCAACAACAAATACCATGGAAGCACTATAATTATTTTAAGATTATTTTAAAATATTCTAAGAAAATGATGAAAACTTATGAAAACAATATTTTTTATTGCAGTTTTTGTAAAATATGAACTATAGATGCTTGAATTTCAAACATAATAAAGTAATTTATTTCCTGTTTGTTTTTTGGATACAGCTGCTTTCAGTAGAGACAAAGGTCCATGGATTATCAAACCTGTTGCTTCTTCTCGAGGCCGAGGTGTTCATTTAGTAAACCATGTAAGTATCTATGCCATTCATTATCAGTCTTTGCTTAACTGAGAGAGCAAAACATTATTTGAACTGTATCTCACAATTAAACTAAAAAGAAATAAACTGTTTTTCTGTCCAATTACAGCCAGACCAGGTGCCTCTTGAGGAGAATCTCATTATTTCCAGATATATCCAAAACCCTCTGCTTATTGATGGTAAGTCTAGTGTGTGAAGTGCATTCTTTTATACTTCCTTTATCAACAAGTAATCCATTTTTGTTTAGTTTTACTTTTCTGCACTCTTATAAAAATGTCTACATTTTGCCTGAAACTAACTGTACTTCTGAAATCATAAATCGATAAAATATATGTAGGCACTTAAGACCACTAGCTGCAAATAGAACTTTCAAGGTCTTTAATTAAAATATCAATATTCTTACATATAGGAGGTTTACATTTAGTAGTCAGTTAGAATTCTTCTATATGCTATGTTCCTTCAGGATGTGAGCAATCATGGCTCTCCACAATTTCCTGTCCTTTTTACGCTTAGTAAAGTTTGTTTTTGCTATCTTCTATTCTCTGTTCTGCCAACCATTTACACAAGCTTTTTAGGTAGATTATGCACTGATTTCATTTGTCTCTTTTGCCTTCAATATGTCCTGTGAGTGACAAATTTTCTCAGCATTCTTTCCTCATTATGTTCCCTAGAAATTTCAATTATCTATTTCTGATGCTAAATATGTTTCCATTTTGTTACCATAATCTCTAAAATTCTGTTATTGCTCACATGTTCTGTACATGGTATTGTCAACATCAATCTGTAGAACTTCATTTGTGTTGTATCAAGTCTTCTTCACCTGTGAGGGATTATCCAGCATTCACTGCAATATAGGAAGTTTGATATAACAGTCCAGTATTCTTTTCTTTGTTTCTTAATATCATGTTTAGTTTTTGGAAGGCAAGTTTTTGCTATGCTAATGCACTTTTGGATTTCAGTGTAACATTTTCTGTCCTTTGTTAAAACATTTCTTAGATATTTAACTTTTTGTACTTGCTTTAGTATCTCCAAATTGTAATTTGCATATTGGGCTATTCATTTTGCTGGCAATCATACATGCTATCTTCTTACAATTGATGTTTAGTCCTTTTTTCTCCCTTTCATTTACTACTGTGGCAAATAGGCAAATCAGCTACCTCAAAAAAAGTTTATCTCTTGTGCATGGTGTGCCGAAGAAAAGAAAAAATAAATCCTTGATTTATAGGTTAAGTATATCTGACATATAGTCATTTTTTTTTTTTTATTATCCCCTACTATTGTGACCAATCACAAAATTTACCTTTTCAATAAAAGTCATTGCTTTTCTTGGTCTGTGAGTGAGATTGAATTTTCTAGATTAGAATCTGTAAGTATCTGTCTATATATCAAGGACACATGTCACAGTGGATAAAGGCGTTGGTTAGATCTAGTGACATAACCCAAAGAGTGTGAGTTCAATACCCGGCTAAGGCAGTGGAGAACTTTCAGAGGGAAAATTAACAGGAGATAACTGATAACTGACATCCATTAAACATGACACGTGGAACAAGAACAATCTACCCCAGTGAGCGAAATAAAGGGTTCGGTTCAACATTCCAACCACCTGAAGAAGATCGGAGTGTACAACGACCAAAACGTTGTAATAAATATGGCGACAAAGATGAGGACAATAGTCCGAATAATGTAGAATCTGTAAGTTGGATTTTTTTTTTACCCTATTTTATTTTGCCTCTTGGACTTGAAATTGGACATGTGACTTCTGATTTTAAACTACTCGTCTTTCCTACCTTTTCAATTTACAATGCTGACTTTTTTCACCATTCTTGTTGTTTTGGATGTTTAACAGATTCAACTACCCTCTGTAAGCATTCCTGTAATTTCCTTTTTATGTCTGCTATCAACATTTTCATATCTTATGTTAAGATTGTGGCCGCCAATAATGAAACATGAGAGGACTCTCATTATTGCTTTTCTGTAAAAGTTGAATACTGAGAAGACACATCCTTGTCTAATGCACCTTTCTATTCTTGTGCATTTACTTAATTGATTTTCTATTCTCATGCAGGTGGTTTGCTCCCAGTATAAGTTCTGGATACTTCTAATATCCTTCCCAAATAAATAAAGCTTACCTAGCAGTTCCAACAGTTGTTTGTGATGTGCATTATCAAACACTTTTGCATAATCTATAACACATAGGTATACATCCTTCTGCATTTATAATTACTCTTTCTGATGCCATTCTGAGCATAAATATCACATTCCTTGTTCCAGTGTCTTTAATGAACCCACACTGTTCTTGTCCTATTTCGAGTCTAATTCTGCAGCATTATCATCAAAATTCAGATAAGTTTTGTTATATGACTCATTAGGTTGATTGTCCAATGAAATTTGCACTTGTTTGCACCTGGCTTCTTAGCCAACACTATGAAAATGGATCTCCTTAGATCTTCCAGTATATCACCACTATTGTACATTTAATTTATTACATCTGTAATTTTGTCAATGCTGGAATCATATAAGAATGCCAGCATCTCTATTATAATTTCCTCTGATCCTGTTGCTTTGTTCTTGATAAATTTGGCCAATGTTGATTTCACTTTAGATTTTAATATTTCTTATCCTTCTGTGTATTGCAGGTTGTACTCTTTCATTATGGAAGAGTCCTCTAATATATTTGTTCTAACTCTGAAGTATTTTTCTTTTTCTATTATTTGTGGTCTGTCCTTGAATTTTATGGCTCCTGTTGATGAGCAGGATTTGTCCTGTTCTCTTATTCTTTTATGCATATGTACTTTATTTGTAATACTTATTCTTTCTACTTCTGCATGCTTTTCATTAAGCCTCTTTTGCCTGTCTGCAAATGTCCTATATTCTATGCTATATGTTGGCATTGTTTACTGTCTCCTTTTTATCACATCAAGAATTTTATCTGTTATCAATTCCTTTTTTCTTTGTCTAGTTTTCTTTGGGATGATCTTGTTTGCTGAAATTACTAAAGATTCTTTTCATGTACCCCACTTTGAATTTCTATTGTCATTTACTTCATTGTATCTGCTTTTAACACTGTTTGCATGCAGCTCCTTCAAATTCGGGACATTCAAGAGTTTGTCGTATTGCAATTTCAATTTCTGTAGTTTCACTTTAAGGTTACATATCACTTGAAGGTGGTCATTTTCATTTAGTTCATTGTATCTGCTTTTAACACAGAGTCCTACACTCCTCGCATATATATGTAGTCACTGAGAAAATGTCTATTGTTTGCCCACCTTGTTTTACACACATCTAAAATATTAACAGTTAACATTCAGTATCTGTCTATATTTCTGAGATGAGATATTATGTACACTATTTACATTATTTGGACTATTGTTCTCATCTTTGTTGCCATATTTATTACAACATTTCGGCCGAATAATGTAAATAGTGTACATAATACCTCATCTCAGAAATATAGACAGATACTGAAGGATCGGTATGGATACGATATACCAAAAATATGGAGACAAATTGAAAAATCCTACCAGAAACTGGCAGGAATATCAAACCATGTGACATTCCTACACCGATGCAGAGATCTACAACTCATCCCTTCAGACTTGGCACCATGACACTTCCCATCAATTCAAGGAGAGCCCGTCTGGTCACAGAAAAAGTGGGACACACCCTTGTCTGAGAGAGAATCCAGTATAATTGTTGGATAAAACAGAGACTTGAAGCTCATATCTCCCAGAGGCTCGAGGATTTCTTCAACAGAATTACCAATGAAGACCAGAGAAAGATCCAAAATAATAAATAAATAATTTCACTTTCCCATAATGCAAATGGAAACCAAATAAAAGGGTTTCCAGTCGTGTGCAAAGTTTGTGACCCCAGGAAAGGAGATCATCTTGCTCTGGATACTTTTGAATTATTGGATTTGGGCGTATTTTGCAGCAGTTCTAAGTAAAGGAGATTCAGTCACCCTCTCTCAACGTCATGTTGACTTGAAGTCAAGCACTCTCTTACCTCCGAGTTTAGTACCTGTGTCAATAAAAATTGAGCCTTAATTTTCCAACCAAGTTTTGTGTTATTTATTGTCGTCCAACGACATTACCGTCTACTGACGGTAATGTCTACAGAAAACCAAATACCAACCCACCACAAGTTCTTCTGCCCTTATTTATTTTTATTTTTTAACCTACAGGGTTTCTAATCACTTGCATCAATCACAATAAATTGGAGTGGAGGTACTGGTTTAGTTACTGACCATCCAACAATAGATATGCACACATATATATTTATGTTTCAATTTAGTTAAAGTACTAAACAATATATATATATTTTTTAAAAATTCAAAATGACTTCTTACCTTGACTTCCTTGAGTTAATAATGGGAGAGGAAAAAATAAATAAATATATATCTTCAATATTCAGATTCAAAGAGTCAAATTCATGGCTGATATCAATGGAATTATACAATTCATTTGATTGCTTTTTTAAATTATCATTTTGAAAGAACTTATTTTCTAATATTTTCTGAAAATTACTTAAAACTTTGTTTATCTAATGGATCAGGGAATTTGAAAAGCCTTCAAAAATCACATTTTTTCCAGCTTACGGCAATTCTAAACAGTGTTGTTTCCTTAACTTTTCTACTAACAGAATCATGTTTATTAAGTAAAATTATTAAGATACTTTATTCATGATGTAAATAAATATTAACATTTTTATGATAAACAGTTATAGGTTTGATATTAAAATCTTTGTTTTTATCAAAGTAAATTTATATTTCTTTATGTAAAGCCAAAGTTTTAGTTTTGCATTAAATATTAAATATATAACTTATAAATATAGAAATACAATTACATTCCTGAGTCATGGAAAGTTTAAAAATAGTTTATTTTTATTTAAAAATATATTGGAAAGACATTAAAAAAGAAAAAATTACATATTTCCTTTATATTTACAGATTATATTGAGCAATGTTTTGGTTCATTTCTAGTTTATCTTTAATTTATTAGCCTTGTTATATACTGTGTATGATTGCAAGAGTAACAAACAAAAACAACAAAATATCGCTGGTGAGGTGGAAAGAAAGAGACAAGATATTTTAAAGTAAAATTATCTGTATTGTCAATCGAATATCTCTTCTGTGGATGAAGAAGGCAGTCTGGAAGACAGGAGTGTTGGTTGTAAACGTGAATGATATTGAAGCTTGTGTCAGGTTGGTTGACCAAGAGGCCTTTGGTGAACTCTGTACACTGTTTATGTACTGCCTTGAGTGTTGCCAAGCAAGTCCTTTTAAACCATTATCAAAGTGGCTACTTGAATCAGCATTTTCTGTTATGCTTTTGCTTTAGTGGCAACATTTGTGATTGACTCTGACATTTAAATTTTAGTTTATATTTTGGAGGGTATTTGTTTTGTAAGCTGGATGTAAAGCTTGAAGCACAGAGAGTGATTTCTTTTTTAATTTTGTTTTTGTAGCATTTATATCCAGATGATAAGTTTTAGTGCAGAGTGAATTAGAAAGAGGTCTATTTTGAAGCAGAGTATAATAGCCTTTATTCCACATTAGATTATTCATGTTGTAAAATGAAAGAGTGAGAAACATGAATAAAAAATACTAATAAAACTTTTTTGTCATCATTCCTTCCTTCCTGATTTTTAAACTGAAATTTTCCTTAAAGAAATAAGAAAACCAGGATTAAGTGTAGTGTTAGCTTTATTATAATGAATCATTTGTTGACAAGAAAAGGTGAGAATTAATCAATCATATATTTCTTTTTTGGAACACTCTCATCTCTTCCTTGTTTCACATTTTTTTTATTACTCTCTTGTTTTTGTCTCCATAACATGTTTTTTCTTATTTGAATCTGTCCATTTTTACTACAGGTTTTAAGTTTGATGTACGGTTGTATGTAGCAGTAACATCTTATGATCCTCTTGTGATATATTTGTATGAGGAGGGACTCACAAGGTAAGAGACTAAATACAATGTGCACTACAAAGAGAAAATTTCTATAAAACATGAACTGATTTGACAACTATAATGCAATTATATTAAATGTAGGTTAACATTCTCAAGTCTATCAGTTTCATATTCTAAAGTTCATCATTGCAAGCTATCATTGAGGGATGATGTTTTTTTCTTTCAAAAGAGAGACTACTTTATGTCTGAATTTCTGGGATGAAGAGTTAGTATTATTTACACTATTTACATGTGGACTATTGTTCTCTTTCTTTTTGTTGTTGTTGTTATCACAACGTTTTGGCCATTGTGCCATCTGACCATCATCTGGTTATGTCGATCTGAGTAACATACAGGGAATTACAAACTGAGCCCTTTATTTAATCTACAGGAGTAGACTGTTCTTGTTCCACTACCTATGTCTTGGGATATCCCATCTAGCTCTTATTTTTTAGTACTGCTCAGTTATTGCTTGCCCTGTTTCCACTGCTCAGCCCAGGAGTTGAACTCACAATTACCATGTCATCAAATTCTCAAACTAATGCTTTAATCCACTTGGCTATTGCCAAGATCTCTGGGAAGTGGAACAAGAACAGTCTACACTCTGTAAATTAGTGTTCAGTTCAGAATTCCCTATAGGTTACTCAGATCGACATACACTTGATACAGGCTGGAGGGCCTAAACATTGTGATAACTACAATAAAGATGAGGACAATATTCCACATGTAAATGGTGTAAATAAGGGAGACTACTCTTTTAAAGGACAAAGCTACTTTGGATTGATATATAGGACATAATGTGTTGATAAATTGAGCCCTGATTACGGGCACCAGTGAATATGAAATAATAACAGGAATTCTTAAAATGTATGTATATTGATAGCATAAATTGAATGTTCTTCCTAGGCTGTTGCTATTTTTTTCTCAAAATCCTCAGCTAGAGAATACAGTCTGCATTACTATTTTACCCATTCCCAGAGAAGAAATGAGTTCATGCCTTTTCCCAAGGCATTATTATTCTGCTTACCAATTCCATTTTTCGTACTGTTAACTGTCAAATATTACATTGCTCATAGCCCTTTACCAAATTAAAGACAAGGTAATTTGATTACTTTGAGCTTTTTAAACTGTTATTTACATAAATAAATCATATAATCCCTAAAATTGATCTGTTTCAGGTGTGTTAGTAGGGTACAACCAATTTCATATGTTATTAACCTATAAGTAGTGTTAGTCAACCATGGTGGGTACTGACTCCTCACCCTCAAATCATTTTATTTTAATTTTACCCATTTTGGAAAGTTGATTGTCAGTAAACCTACATAATATTAAAATGATTTCAAATGAGTTTTACCAAACTGGTAAAAAGCACTGACAAATCACCATTTGCACAATATTTGTTTATTTTGATTACATTTAATTATTTGTTATATTGTTTGAAGTTCACTGAATATTGTCAAAATATGACAATAAATGGATTTCACCATTTTACACACATATCAATTCCTGGTAAGTCTTCAGACTCTCAAGAAAATTTTTTTTCTAAAATTCAGATGGACAGATTGATGTGTTTTTAATACTGAAAAATATAATATATATTTTGTAATATTGTATTTTTTCTTTATTCTCTCTTTGTAATTTGCTAAGAGGACATCTAAAAATAACAACAATAGGTCCTAAACAATTGAAATGTTTGTAGGTTTGTTTATTAAAGAATAAACTTTCATTTTTATAGGTTTGCAACTGTGAGATATGAAAAGAGTAACCGTAACTTGAGAAATCAGTGTATGCACCTGACCAACTACAGTGTTAATAAGAAAAGTAATGGTTATGTCAAGTAAGTATAAACTTTGCTTGCCTACTGTAGCAAGAACACAACATATTGAACTTACTGGTCAGCAGGAGTATTATTAGAATGAAACTTGGGTGTGTAGAATGACATCTTTATAAATATTCATTAGATCGTGATGTATAAAAGCAGGCTTATTTTCAGGGGTAAGCAATAACAGCAGGCCTGGATGTGGCCTAATTGTAATGGACACAAATGGGGGTTAAGTAACACTCATCCTGATTGAGAAAAAAATAAAATATTTGTTTTAAAAAGCTATGTTTAAATCTTAATAACAAGAATATTATATACTATAGGTGTTAGATTGCTTATTTACAAGATTAATTTTATATTTACAAAATTATAAAAATATGTGAATATTCGAATTGATATGATTTGCCAAAGAACACAATTTGCAGGTTTTGCTGATTTCTTGGGTCCATTCTTCATTTCAGATTTCTTCATCAGTCATCACTGACAGTGGAAAATTTATTTGTAGATTTTCTAGGCATGTTTCATTAATCTTAAATTTTAGAAAAATTAGCAATAATTTAAATAAAATTTTCAAAATTACTTTACAAAAACGAGTAGGAAGGAATTTAACCTATAATTGCTGGAGTTTCAGGCTTTGGATTTTTCTCTTGATTAGTTGTTCTTGATCTTAGATCACAAATATAAAAAAAAATTGTAAAATTAAACCAAAAAATATTCTGAGATATAAAATAATCTACAAAGAAAATGTATAATGCCCAGAAAAATTGTTTATATAAATTTTTTTTGTCCTGTAATTCAGATATTTTTATAAATATATGAATAAAAAATAGTTATTTATAAAATGGTAAATAATAAATATTGCATTGTAATTGCTTCACAACTAGTTATTAGTTTGTTATTAAAATTCTAAATGTAGCATTTTAAAAATTTGTTGAGTGAGTAAGAGAAAAAAATATCATTTTGACAGTTTTTTTTTTCATTTGCTTTCTTTTAACAGTCATTTCCTGTTTAAATTTAGTATTGGAATAATTTGTTAGTAAAATTTAAACAATGTTTTCAATTACAAAAGTAAAATATTTCTTTCCCAATGTATTTACACGTAAATATTTTTGAAAAGTAAATCTGTACATAATAGAACAAGAATTTATAGACTGAAAATGAATTTTATTTAAATATATATATATATATATATATATAAAGGAGAATTAATTTTATTTAAATATATATATATATATATATATATATATATATATATATATATATATATATATATATAAAGGAGAATTAAAAACAAAGTTTGGAATGACAATAAATGCTTTTAGGCATTGCTATCACAGGCAGTCAGATGAGACTACTACAATATTTTCAAATTGCAAAAGATATATGACTAAGTGCTTGCCAAATGCATCACAAATCATCTCATATACAATCACAGTAGTACTATGACCTTTGTACTCAATCCTTAAAATTAGTTACTCTTTATGGTGTTGAAACAATCTTTGTGACTGTATGCCCATATTGGGAAATTTCTGTCTTTTAATTTGCTGAAATTTTACCCTCAGCCCTGAGAGTAACTTTATCAAAATGCTTTTTATAGATTTGACAATCTTTTTTTAATTTTCTATCAACTGACATGGTTCTATTTTTAATGTCTTACATTTTATGGAAATCAACTAAAAGCCCTCAACCTTCTTTTATTAGATAGGCAGTCTTTTGCTCTCTTAATTGACTGTTTTATTTAGGTTTAAGTGTTTATTTAAAATTTTATGTTTTATAATTTTTTCTAGAAAAATAATAATTGATAATAAATTATGTAATTGTTGAAATCCCATAAATTGTCCATTGGAAAATAAATGTCTTACCGAATCTATTGTTTATCAGTGCACTATTTCATCTACTGAAAACCCAGATGTTAAGGAATTTTATATTGGAAGCACAAAAATACTTTTAAATGAAGATGGTGCCAACATATTTCTTTTTTTAACAACAATGGGTACTGAAACCAGACATCCCTCTTAAACTATTTCGGGTATTTAAAAGAAATAAAAAAAAAAACACAGTAAAATGTAAAATATTAAAAATAAACCTAGAATTTGTAAGTCATTAAATGACCCATGTCCTCTGTGTCTACATGAAAAGCTACATATTATTAAGTTTCCTAAAAATAATGATCTATTAAATTACTGAAATGCACTAACTGTAATATGTAGGCATTGTACAATGTTTACATTAAAATATAGTTAATAGAATTTTTCTTAAAAAAAAAGCAAAAAAACCCCTATGTTATGATTATATATCCATTATTTTATTATATATAATAGTACATATAATATTTATTTAATTACTTGATTTTAATTTTAATATTGTCATGTCATTGAATATAAGAAGTATAGTATGAAAATAATATATATAAAATTAATTTAATCATACTAAAAGCCCCTTTAAGATAGTTCTAAAGTATAAACAATAATTTTTTAAAATAAAATCCTAAAATTAACCTTTTTGTTTGGTATACATCCATCTGATTATTTCATTGAAACTAAAAATCATATTCTTAACCAGATGTAATTGGTGACACATCTAAAAATGACAGTTCATCTAGACAAGTTTGAATAACACACACACCCTAACCTCTAACCTACATTTTTTCACTTTTCTGCTTTAGCTTTGACCTGTCTTTTCATTGGTCAAAGAAAACATACCCATAAAAATTTTAAAATCTTTTTCCTCCCTCCTTCTTAACTCTTAAATAAAATACCATTCTGTTTCCAAAAGTAAATCATTTTCATCAAATATTACCCAACATCACTTGATAATGGAACAGATTTAAGTTCCAAAAAACAAATTTTCATGTCACAATGTAAAATATTTTTTAAATAAAAATATTATAATATATATATATATATATTGATTGATTGGTTGTGGAATATTAATTTTTTCTTTTCAGGAATGATGACCCAGATATAGAAGATTATGGAAACAAATGGTCTTTGGGTGCATTGTTACGTTACTTAAAAAGACTAGGAACTGATACAGCAGGTAAGGCTGTTACCCTGAAATTCTTTGTTGCAGATTTTTGTTCTGTCAGCATGAAATATACTCAATACTCTTTTGCCAAATAATTAAAAGTATATTTAAACATCTTATGGAACCTAGGAAAAGATAGTATATAAATAACTATAAATTCATATTTGGCAAGCTCATATCCTGATGACAATTCCATCATGAAAATCATGTTGTTAATTAAACTAACAATTATAATTTTCATATGGGGAAACTTGTTGAAACTTAGTGCTTGTTTTCAATTTAGATTTTGTTTTCTAAAACATGATTAAAAATTTTACATCAATTAATCACTTTAGGAAATAGTCATAAGAATTATTGTTGAAAAAAGAAATTTATAGACTGATGACTTGCTAGGCATGATAGAAGCTTCAATATATAATTACATTTGGTAATGAAAAGAATGTAACTTTGAATGTAAAAAGAATTTAATTAATCTATAAGGAGTACTGCCATAAATGATGAACATAGATTATTTAGGGTTCTTTTTTCATAGTGTAAATAATAGCAGTAGACTAGAATTTTTGGTTCAACAATAGATAACGGAGAGAGAGTGATACCTGAAAACAGTACAAGAAAAGAAAGTTTAAAAATAGATGGCGTTTTGTGGATCCCAGGTGTTTTAAAAAAAAAAAAAAAGGTTTCCGTATCTACTGAATATATATTAAAATGATAGATCCATATTAACCCTTGCATACTAGATTGAAAATTATTTTTGATTGAATTAAAAACAAGCTGACTATAAATTCAAGACAAAATTTGAATTCAAGACAAATGGAGATAATTGAGTCACTACATGGTTATTTTTTTTCTCTTATTTTGAAAATCTAAAGAACGTTTTAAAAATTTTAAAGGCTATACAAATTAACACATACATATACAAAAGTAATTAAATTTGTTTATAAAATAAGATTTACAAACTAATGTAATAAAACCACTATGTTATCTTATAGAAAAATAGGATATTTTTAAATTTCATGAAAGGAAATATAATTTGAGTATATAATAGAATTGTTAATTTATTTATAGCATTAATGTCCTTCATAAATCATATGAAAATAGCTATAATGCAGGAAAAACTCATAGATGATGTCACCTTTTACTTGAAACTTGCATTGTCATATTTTTTCTTTTTTAGCCAATGTTTCTACTTTTACACATTTTTCTTATATTATTTATTTTTAGTTTCAAATAAAACTATAAATAAAAATATATTTAATAAAGAATATTTGTAATTTTATTTTAACAGTTTTCCCAATGTTTTATTTTTGTAAATTGTTAATGAGGTTTCTAAGAAAGAGTAAATATTTCCAGTTTGTATTTTCCCACTTTGTAATTCTTTTAAAATATTATTCATGTTTTTGTCAATTTTCTTAAATTAACTTTTGTTTTGCTCCTAAATTTTTGACAGCCCTGATGATGAAAATTGAAGATGTCATTGTAAAGACCATTCTCTCTGCAGAACTCCACATAGCAGCAGCTACCAAAATGTTTGTAAACAACAAATGGAATTGTTTTGGTAAATAATTCCTTTGACGTTTTCTCTAGTGATAATATGGTCATCATTTAGTGCTATATGTTGAAAATGTTGATTTTTATTTACATACATTGAATATATTATCATTTGGTAAATGAAATATGAACTTAATTACTGCCAGTGTATTCTACATTACCAAACAAATATGATCAGTTTATATTTCAATACTATCAATGCAGAGTAATGGATAGCAGCTCAGATTGAGGAATCAGAGAGCCAAGTTCGAATTCCAGTCAAATCCATTACATTCACTTACGTGCTAATACCCTTGGGAAAGGTATGAATCTTCTTCACCAAAGCTATGGGTAAATAGGACAGACTGGGTTCTATAGCCTTGGATGGAAACTGATCTACCACAGAAAGAAATGGTAACCTACTGTGGGGCAAAAATCTGCCTCGTCAGTCATGTATCAAAAGATACATGATCGCCTAAGTGTGTATTATGCATGGCCCATAAATGACTGACTGACTATCATTTAATCACATATCATAATGAATATTTGTAATGAAGATACTGATCTGATAAAAGTTGCTTGAAATATTAAAAAGGTCATTTATTAAACAGAGAATAATAAATTTGAATTTCCAATTCATATTTTTTATTATTTGAACATATGTCACTTCATGATTATTCTTTATTTTTACAGAATTATATGGATTTGACATTCTCATCGATGATACCATGAAGCCTTGGATTCTGGAGGTCAATTTATCTCCATCTCTTGTCTGGTAAATTTTTTTTCAAAGTAAATGAATTTGTGTGGTGGAAGTGATATTTTTAAAATAGTGTCTTCTACTTTATGAGACAGAGTCCTGAGAGACTGCTTTCCCAACAACTATAATCTTAACCTCTTTGTGTCTAGGGTTAACTGTTATCTTTCCCACATATCCTCCTACTCTTATTGCTCATACAACAACCTCCTTCAATAACCCTCTACCTTGAGTGGCTCTTGGGCCTTGTATTGGGTGAACATTAGTTAAAAATTATTTACATTTCAACTAATACTTCTATTATAAAGCAGATCAATTAAAACTAAATATTTTCCATATTCTCTTGTGAATAACAAGTAAATTTTTTTCACTTTACTCTGTTATAATAATTATTTTACTATTTGTATTTTGATACTATTCATTGTTTATTTTGCATCTCTTCTAGTGATAGTCCACTAGATCTGAAAATAAAGACCAACCTCGTCTGTGATCTATTCAGTGCCATTGGTAAGTTAAATATGTATGATAAAACACAAACATAAAATGGTTTTAAATCTTTGCAAAGTTAAAACATTATTATATAAGTGTATATATTTCAAAGTTAGTGACTTAGTAGTTTGAATGTACTCTTACTATTAAACCTCCATTTGGATTTTTTTTGTTTACATGACAAGATTTTAAAAACATTTTTGTTAAAATTTAAATGCATCATTTTAAGTTTTAATGTGAATTTAAAAATTTTATTGAATTGCAAAGAACTTTACAATTTACATCCAATACAGTAATTACTTCTGTTACAGCTGCATGATAAATCCTGAATGTTTCTTTGCAATGTGCTAATTTCCATTCATTTTTAAAAAGCTTATAATTTTTTGTTTGCCTACATTATTAGTGTTATTTCTAAATACAAACATACTTTTAAATTTCAGTATATATACATATATATATATATATATATAAGTTCTGATGTTAATAAAACAGTACTTGATAACAGAGCTAATAATTTATACTAATAATAAGCATAAATATTTTTTCCTCCTCCTTAGTGAGGAAAAAAATGTATATTTATTATTGGTTGTGTGTGTGTGTATATATATATATATATATATATATATATATATATATATTCAAATAATAGGAAAGAACAGTCAGATTTATAATCCAGAGTTCTTTAGCATTTATTTAAAAAAAAAAACAATGCACGATACAAAGTAGAGTATAATATAATAATATATAATATATGTAATATCCCAGCAACAGAAGGGAGATAACCCATAGAGACACAAGAGTTAGGTCCCCTCCAGACATCCGGTGAATCTTAATCAGCAGCTACACAGCAAAAGGGAATAGGAGGCTACCATCACCGAGGGACAATCAAGAACCATCCTAAAATCCTAGCAAGGCATTAATCGGCGCCTAGCAAGCATCGATAGCTTCTTGCATGCAGAACATTACATTGGCGACGAGGACTGAGTCGTTACCCTCACAAAAAACAGAACATCAACACACTTAAAAAAAAAAAAATTCAACACATGTTCGATATACAACCAATATGGCCGTTCCACACTACCCCCAAATTTGATTGTGAGTCAACAGCCAAAGCAGCAAGATGGACAAAATACATAAAAAAGACTGAAAAACTATTTTTGTCGCACATAACATTGAGGATGACAAACGGCAAAAAGCAATCCTTCTAACATTTGTCGGGCGAGGCTACGAAATGACATCATCGACGAGATACCACAAGAGCGAAGTCACACCAGAAAAAATGAAACACATTTCGACAAGCTTGTCTCAGCGGTGCACAACCACTTCAACCCGGAAAACGACACGGAATACAACCGATTTGTGTTCCGGAAGATAGCCCAGGCATCGAAGAATTCTACCGCAAACTAAAGGAAGCTGCGTCTATGTGCCATTTTTCCAACATGGATTCCGAGGTG